ATTTCTTTTGACAGCTGTGAGGTAGGTTCATTTTCACTTTCCTGAGCACCTAGAGATGCCAGAAAGGGTAGAAAAGATGTGAGGCACTGAAAACTCTCAGGGCCCAACAACAAATAATACTAGAAGATCCTATTGGAAAGGGAGTACTATACATGCCACCCTGTTTCCCAATTTATGATCTTCTTGCAGCTTTGTTTTTACTTTTACTGTTGGTGACATACAGGTTTGTGAGGGGGTGTCACACGGAGGTGGAGATCTGTTCTCCCCTGCAGAGGAAGGCAGGCTGTGCTCCAACGGAGCAAAACTCAGGGAAGGTTCAGTTTAGATGCCAGGAAGCACTTTCTGACGGTTAGGACCCCAAGGGTGTGGAATGGGCTTCCACGAGAGGTCGTTGAGGCCCCATCGGTGAGGGTGTTCAAGGATAGGCTAGACATGCACGTGGTGGGCATGTCATGAGTGGAGCCAGCTGGAGCTGGGGGTCAGACTAGATGGCCCAGGAGGATCCTTCTGACATTCTATGTTTCTATGACAGCTTACTGTTTAACAGGTTAAGTGAGTACCAAGCAACAAATTAACCTATTTGTGCCTCTCTGGACCAATGTCCGTAGTAAGTACCACTCAGCCCTGCTCTGCTTCACCAGAACACCATGAGTGTCCATGGTGCCTGCTTTGTGTTTCTGATCTGGCATCTGTCTCCCATGCTGCAATGTCTTTCACTGAGCCTTGACTCCTGCCTGTTCCAGACCTTGACTTTGCCTCAGGTCTTGCCTTGGTCATGCCATGCCTTCTCGGACATGCCTGTTCCAGACTCTGCCTTTTTCTTTTGACCTGCCATGCCTTGCTGGTATCTGGCCTTTGCTTGTACCTGACATTTCCCTTGCTTCTGGTCCTCCTGCATCTTGCCAAGACTTCTATCTACCTCCATCCATCCTGGTTCCGATGCAGCAGTCATAGACACCTGTTGGTTGTGGCCTGGAGCTGATTGGCCCAACTTAATATGGGTCATTTTGAGTAAAATGGAAAAAAATGTGTAGGGCTAAACTGGGGGGGGGGGACTATTGAGCTTGAACCCATCCCACCCCCACCAAGAATTGTCATACATACCTGAGATTGTAGTGGGGGTTCCTCTCTTAACCAAGAGGGTTTCAAAGTCAGGATAGACCCCACGAAAATCAAGCCTTTGGCCTAAGACATACCAAGCAACAGTGTTCCAAAACTCATTCATTTTGCATTTTTTATTTTCAATTATATACAGTTAAAAACTTGTACAGTAGTGCCTTGTATTTCAAATTTAATTCAGGAGACCATTCAAACTCTGAATTGTTTGAAGTTTGAATCAACTTTCCCCATTAGGAATCACAGAAAGTGAATTAATCTGTTCCCAAATCCTAAACAATACCCATTGTGATAAACTTAAACAGCAAATATGCATAATTTAAGGTAAAAATAACATAATTACATGCCAAAATTATTAATTAAAACTTGCAAACAATTAATAAAAACGTATGTATTTTATAATAAAAATCCATTTACTGTACTGCATGAGCATTATGCAAGAGATGCTTCATAGTGGTGCACAACAGATAATGTTTACACTGTGATCACAATTTTTCACTGCATGTGTAGTTCAAATGTAGAAGCATTGTTCTGACTTTGGAGTGATTTTATCTCAAATTTAGCGTTCAAACTCTGAATCATTCGAAGTTAGAGTCATTCGAACTACGAGGCACCACTGTATCAGTGTTGATCAACGAATGCCCTCCAGATGTTTCAGATTACATCTCCATGACTGACGATTAGTCATAATGTCTGTGGCAGTGCAACATCTGGAGGGGACCAAGTTGGGAAACCCTGACCATATAAAGGTAGTAACAAACCTTTCCGTTTGTATATTGAATAATGTTTATTTTTTCAAAGCACAAAGCCAAAATGGAAATGAACAATAATGATTCTGGAACAAAACCTATGGTGATGTTTTCCTTCTTCTTCATTGCACTTTCCATAAGTTGGTAGTCAAGCCAACAGTAAAGCAAGAGAACACTTTAAATTATAGCACAATTTCCACCCAACCATTTCAGCTGTGTAATGCCCTAGAAGATTCTCCTTAAAGCACACACACGACAACAGGATAAATGGTAAACAGTGACAGAAAATGATGTAGAATTTCTTTCACATTTGGTAGAGACAGGGGATTAGGAAGCTAACAGCATACTGGTATTTCTTCATGCGTTGCTCACAGCAATGGCTCCTTTAGAATTGCTGGGAATGGAGCCAGTGGAAGCCCCACAGGCTGATGCTTTGTAACAGATGACTCAAGAGCTCATTGGCGAAGGCTTGGTAGTAGCTTTGTTCTTTTCTTGCTAGCAGTTAATCTAAGTTCATAGCCAGTGATGTTGGATTGGAGACTTACAACATCCACATTTTCTTCCTAGTACTCTGTGTGCTGGAGGAGTGCCAAAGAAATTGTTGCCAGTGTAATAGGTTTGTTTGCGGCCCTCTTGGAAGAAGTAATAATGTGAAATCTTATGCAAACTTATCTGAGTGTAGACCCAATTGGGTACAGTAGAACTTACTTCTGAGGAAGCATTTTTGATTTATGAAAAAAATTTATAAACTACTCAGCATTGAAAGATATACCAAGTGACAACAGATTGATATAGGTTATATAAAAATGCACAATGACAGTGCAAAATTCAATAATACAGTGGCTGGAATTTAGCCATGACTCAAGAAAGGTTTGTCTGAAAAGAACAGTCTTACAAAATGCATAAAGCAGAGAAATGTAGGTACATGGTTGATCTCAACTGGATGGACATTCCATATGTTATGGAAACAGACATGCTAAAAATCCACTTCTGGTGGTTTGCAAAGAAATCTCCAACCCGAGGAGGATCACCAAGAGTGTTACTTCAAAAGACAATTCTGACTGGACAGGCTGCCAAGTTAGAAAGCATATCTTCAAGTATCCTGGCCCTAAGCTGTTATAGACTAGAACCAGAACCTGAAGGGCCCCTAGCAGATGGACAGGCAGGACAAAGCCATCGTCACTGGACATGGAGTGACACCTGACAGGGGCCAGGCAGCCCCATTCTTAGAATACATAGTAGTTATTCAGTCTTGAAGTTAAGAATGCCAACACCAACATGGTTGAGCTATCATAAACATACATACAGTCATCACTGATTTATTAAAAATTAAATACACTATATGAAACTGAGATCAGAATGTTCTGTTGGCAACTTCCATCATCAATCACAAAGCTAATAACCTCTATCTGAACAGAACTTTTTCATTTTTTTGAGTGATGATTTAAGCACAATCTACCTCCTGTGTCCTGCTAACTCTCACCCCATGGATTCAGCAACGTTTTTGACAAAGTATTCTGTGGTATCTTGATTAGCAGACTAGCTAAAAGTGATCTAGACTGAACAATCGTCAGGTGGATCCACAGTTTCCGATGGAATTGGACTCAAAGTATGGCACCTTTTTGAAATGACTGGTGTACCTCAGGATAACGTTTCTCAGATTTGCAGATGACAAAAATTTGGGTGAGAGAGCTAATACTCTGAAAGAAAATGCAAAGTGTTCTTGATAGATTGGTGTGCTAGACTGAAATCAGTATAATGAAATTTACAAAGGAACCAGAATGCACAGTTACATCATGTGGCTGCACAATACTACAAGTAAGAAGGACCTCAGAGTTGTAGATCACAAGCTGAATATGACTCAATGTTATGATACGGCTGCAAACAGGGAACACTTTTTGGGGGTGCAATCATAGAAGTATCACATCTGAATGATGTGACGTACTTGTCCTGCTCTGTTCAGCATTGGCTAGGCCTCACCTGGAGTATTGCACCACATTCTAGACACCGCACCTTAAGAAAGATGCAAACAGGCCAGTGAAAGTTCAGAGGAAAGCCAAAAAGATGACCAGGGGACTGGAAATAAAGCCCTGTGAGGAGAGAACTGGCCGTGTTTAGCCTTGAGAAAAGAAGACCAAAGGGAGATATGCTAGCGCTCTTTTAGTACTCGAAGGGTTGTCGCTTGGAATGTCCTGCGCTTCGCAGTGGCCCAGATTCAGAGTGCCTGGTGAGCATGCCCAGGGTTCAAGGGGTGCTCTTCAAGAAGTGAGCTGGCAGCAGTGAGAGGGGACAAAAGCTGGTTGCTGGGAATGTCGGCAAGCGCACCTGCTTGCTGCCCCCTTGCTGTCCTTGCTGTACAAGCAGTGCCTGTTCATGTGCCAGAGCAGGTGCTCAGATGGCGCCATCCCTTGCACTGAAGAAAGCTGGTCACGGGGCTCTCAGCCACAAGGGCCCAGCAGGAAAGCAGCTCCTCCTAGCTGCCATTTGAGTGGTTCCTCTGGTGCACTCTGGTCAGTGGGAGGGCTGCTGATACCCTGCGACTCTGAGTGCCCACCAGGAAAGCAGGCCTCTGCCACTGTGCAAGCAACATCTTTATTGTGCGCCAGCTACATCCAGCCTTTTAGGCTGCTGCTGCTGCTGCTGCTGATGATGATGATGATGATGCAGACAACATTGCTGCTTGCTCAACCAGGACTCAGCAAGCATTCCTGGACTTTCTCTCAGCTGAGCTCTCTTTGGAGGACCAGGCTGAATGCAAGAGGAAGCCTGTGAATGCTTGGAGGGACAGATTCGGGCAGTGGTCATCCCATCCCAAGTCGTCACACAGAGTGGGTCAGAGGATCTTCTTGGTCATCCCAGGGTACAGGACACTGAGCAATTGGCTGAAGTTGCAAAAAGCCAGATTCCAGTGGAACAAGGAAAAATCCCTGAATGTTAGAGTGAAACGAAAGTAGAATGAATTATTTAGGAATGCTGTGTGTTCTTCCACACTGAAGGCATCCCAGTTGCAGCTGGAAGCTATTTCTCAGGGATAATTTAACTTGGAGCCCTGCACCAAGCAGGGAGTCAGACTCGATGGCCATAGCGGCCCCTTCCAACTCTACTATTGTATGATTCTGTCTCTTCCTTTCTCAGTCTGCTGGACAAATTGTCATTATGATGGGCAACAGCAGCCTGCCATGTCAACTTCAGATTAACTCTCCTTGAGGACAGAAAGGTAAGGAGAAGTCTCCACATAAGCTCATTACTCTTGCCGTCACATTATTTTCCTCAATAATGCATTTTGTGTTTTAAAATTATGTCCAGTTAACAGTGATGAGCCAAAAAATGGTATGTCTTTCTGTTTGCACAGCAAACGTTTCTATTTATATACATTTAAGCATGAGACTCCATTCTGCTTTTACAGCATTGGCCTTCAGCAGATAATTCATACTGGAATGATAACCTCATAATTATGCCAGTTCTGAGTATCTTTTGAATTCTCAAAATTTTACAGTCTCCATCTATTTTCTAACATTTATATCCTGTTATTCTATTTAAAAATGTATCATAGTTCACAATAATTCAAACAGGGATACCATAAGAAAGTGACTAATATTTCAGAAGTTTGGCACACTTTATAGTGTGCTAGGTCAGGTCCATCTGATTCTGAGGAAGCAGCAGAGGGCAGAGGTGGGCTGGTGACTAGGCACTGTTAGTGTTTCCTAGTGCAGAGTCTCAGGCAGAGAATGAAAACAAGTCTGCCTTTGGAGTTGTTTCAGAATTGGGGGCAGAGGAAATTGAGGGAGAATTCCTTGACTGCATAAGAAGATGACAAGCAAAGCAAGTGGGCCAATTAAGAAGTGCCCGGTGTTCCCACTGTCTAGCCCTTCCATCCAGATTCTGCTCTTCACATGGGCAGGTGCTTCTCTCACATTTCAAAGAGACCATTTTAAGTTACTACTAATTTGTAATGTATTAACTTTGTAACTTTAATAAGAATCTGATGCTGGGAACGATTGAAGGCAAAGGGAGAAGGAGATGGCAGAGGTTGAGATGGCTGGATGGGGGTCACTGGAGAGGTTTGGGTGTACTCTGGGGGATGGTGGAGGACAGGAGAACCTGGAGGAATATTGTCCATGGCGTGGTAGAGACAGGCACGACTTTGCAACTGAACAACTTTAATAAGAGGGAAGCAGAAACCTGCCCTTGACATGAACTTTCAAAAAGAAGTATGCCAGGAGGGCAATTACAATGACATCAGCAAAACAGAGTCCTGGAAATGTACTCAGGAATAGCATTGACTTTACTTCTTACCACTATGCAAGCAGCAACAAGGCCAGGCGCAGCCTTCCTATGAAGTCCCTCTAAATCTTGGGCACAACAATTGAAAAGGCCCTGCCTCTAGTACCTGCCTGTCTTTCTGCCATACCTCCAACAGCTTTGGGCCCTGGGAAGGGTCCCTGAAGCAGAACACTCGGACAATTCTTGAAATACTTTTAGTATTTAGTAATCATTTAGTTAAATCTAGACATGGACTTTACAATTAAATTTTAATTGTACAAAATTGTACAATTGTACAAATTGTACAAAAATTAAATTTTAAGAGCATTGTTGTTGCAGCAAAATACTGTCAAGTCACGTCTGTCTTATGTCCTGTCCTTGAAAGTCCTGCTAAACTTTTATAAACTCAAGGCCGTGGATTCCTTTATGGAATAACTCCATCTCCTAGTGGGTCTTGCTTTCTTTCCACTGCTTTTGAATTTCTCTTTCTTCTGTCTCACGATGTGCCCTAGGTATGACAGCTTTGTTGCTTTTGCTTCCAAGGAGAGTTCTAGCTTGATCTGGGCTAGGTCCCAGTTGGTCTGGGACCCTAGGACAGTCTTTTTGTCAGTCCAGGATATTTGCAAAGCTTTCCTCCAGCACCATATTCAGATGCAGCAGTTTCTTCCTATGAGCTTTCTTCATTGTCCAGTTGTCACATACAAACAGAGTGATTGGGAATGCAATAATGCAGATTATTTTAATCTTAGTTTTTATCTAGTCTATAAAGCACAGACTGATCCTTTTCGGAAATTTTTGGTGCTGGAGGATCATACAGTGATACCTCAACTCACAAATGCCTTAGTTCATGGCCAAATCGGGTCGCAAACAGAAATTTCTGAAAAATTTTGCCACAGGTTGCAGCCTCCCCATTGGGTGACGACCGCGATTGTGCATGTCTCCCCACCCCTGAGGGTGCCCACAATCCCGCCTGTCTCCCTCCCCCACAAGGGGGCCCATGGTTGCACCCATCTATGGCTACAATCATGATTGCACTCGTGTGGAGAAGATGGGCATGATTGTGGTCAGGCGGGGGCGTGGGGGGAGATGGCCGTAATCTAATCTATGTTGTTTTTTGTCACTTTGCTTCAAATTTTTGTGATTAAAAAATAGCTACAGAAAGGATTACCCTTATTTACATTGAACCTTATGGGGAAATTTGACTTGGGTCACGACCAATTTGGGTCACAGCCAGAGTCATTGAACAGATTAAGTTTGTGAGCCAAAGTACCACAGTATTTGCAATATGAGCTTGAGTTCCTCTTCCTTTTTGGAATTCAGCTTTAGGCCTTTCTCTCCCCATACAGGGTAATAGTCTTTGTTGCCACACCTTGACCATCAGTTTGGTTGCATGGAAAATTAGAGCAATGCTCCTATATTTACTACACTCTCTTTCAACAACTTTCTTGGGGATTAAAATGTAAATGTTAGCAGCCTGTGGGACAATGCTTTGTTTTCTATATTTTTGACATGTTCTGGTTAGGATTTGGACTGTTTCAGTCTCTGCGACTTGGAATACTTCTGTTGGTATTCTATCTACTCCAGGTGCTTTATTCCTTCCAAGTGTTTGCAGTGCAGCTTTCACTTCACTTTCTAATATGACAGGCTCTTCCACATAGGCTTCTGTATGGTTCTGTAGTAGCAGTAGCAGGTTTATTGTATTTAACTACAGGCCATGACCAATTCACATGACCAAAACTGTGATTTAACAAATAAACCATAGATCTAATGTAACAGAACATGATGCTAAAATGGACCAGCCACAAATCAGGAGACGATCCCCTTCAGAGCCCCCCTAGCTCTTATTTTCTTGGCTGCAAGGGCGAACAGGAGACTCTGCAACACATGCACATCAGAATCTGATAACAGGAACACTATTTTCTCAGAGTCGGTGTAAGCATTAGAGGCAGGTAGAATACCAGTCAAAATACCAGTCAAAAATTTATCTCTAGGCTTGCTATATAGAGAGCAATGAATGATGTGATGTGAACCCACTTCAAGTGGGTTCTTCTATATATTGTTTCCATCTTCTCTTTATTTTATCCAGGTCACACCTGTTTATCTTTTAGTGTTCCTAATCTAGGTTTGAATTTTCCTTTGATTTCTTGGTTATTGTGGAAGAGGTTTCTTGATTTTCCTCTTCTGATGTTCTTTTCTATATCTTTCCACTGGCTGCTGTAAGACTTCTTTTTGTCTGTGGAATAGTCACAGAAAAGTTCTCTAAGATTCTTACTCTAATTATGTCAACTTGGGCTTTGCTTCTTACCTGTCCTTTGCAGTTGTAAGAGCTTCTTATATCATCCATATAGGCTTTTATTTCTGTTTGCTCTAAAATTGTGTTTTTGCATACTTCCCTAGTAATGCTTTTGATTTCAGACCAGTCAGTTAAATGCAGTAATACAAATCTGTTCTTTATGCAGATTGCAAATTTCTCAGGAATAGTTTTGAAATTGCTTTTTCATACTATGATTCTGTTAGTGTTTGTTTTCAGTAATTACAATATTGATATTAACAGTTCATGGTTACTACCACAATCTGCTCCTGATCTTGTTTTGGCAACAAGAATACAGCTTCCCCATCTTGTACTTCAAACTGACTTCCCCACCCCACTTTTGCATTCCAGTCATATATGGTTATTAGCATGACTTGTTTCAGGTGTATTCAATATCCTTTTGCATAGAAGTTTTCTATTTCTTCTTCAGCATCGGCATATAGAAACATAGAAACAGAGCGAGGGGCCTCCTGGGCCATCTAGTCTGACTCCAGGCTCCAGCTGGCTCCACTCACGACATGCCCACCATGTGCATGTCCAGCCTGTGTTTGAACACCCTCACCAATGGGGCCCCAACCACCTCCTGTGGAAGCCCATTCCATACCCTTGGGGTCTTGACTGTCAGGAAGTGCTTCCTGGCATCTAAATTGAACCTTGGTTCCCTGAGCTTTGCTATGTTGGAGTGTGTCCTGCCTTCCTCTGCAGGAAGTGATATGCTTGAGTGAAGGCTGTGTTCATCAGTTTTCCAATATGTATGACTGATACTACTATTAATTATTATTTATTAATTGGATTAATTTCTGTATTCCCTAAGAGTCTCTCTAGGTGGTTAAGAGCTGCGCACAAAATATAGATTATGGATAATAACAAAAATCATTAAAAATTCCCATACACAATTAAAAAAACAAATCTGCAATTCCATGTTGAAGCTTATTTTGACATGAGTCCAAATTAGGCTGCAGGCTTTGGTTTTGTTTTATATAAAGATCTAGCTATATACTAGCATGTATTTTTCTAAATGTATGCATCAGTTGTGCACATCTTTGAACTCTATGCATTCTTCAATTGATTATAGTGTATTTATGTACATTTTCCAGATGTAAAATCAGTACCATGGGTCAATTGTTTTTCACAGTAAGGAACATTGTGCACTTTTAAGGAACTAGGGAAACTCAGAGAGTTGGTTCCGTGTGTCAGAATCCGGGCAAAGACCCCAATTGTGAAGCTATCTGTACAACTTCAGCTTGGGCAATCACTTTTAAAACATGGTTTATGGGTGCTTTTTATTTTAGGTTTCTAATTATGACTACAGCTGTTGTTATAATCTCTAAAGGTTCAAACAAAAGGTAAAATGGGTGTGGAATAGACATACAATCCAACTGGGTTCTGTCCAATACTAACTTGAGTATTGCTTGTCATGAGAATGAGGCACACGGAGTAATAAATCTGTAAGAGGTTAAAGGTGGGGTTGCTCATTGCTGACAATTGGTCTAAGCCACAGGCTGTGCCTTCACCAGCATTTTTGCAGCATTAACCTAGACACTGTCAATCAAAAGTTATTCTTTTTTTCCCCATTAAGGAACATCTTACACAAGTGAAACTTGTAATCATTGTCATCAACATATGCAAAACTTGTTGAAAAT